CAGAAACTTTATCAAATATATGCATATCGATGTATTACTGTACTTCCCAAGAGAATAAAATGAATACATTTACATTCTTAAAACAAATACTGTATCAATAGATATAATGTAAAAATGAGAATTCATGAATAAGATTAATCTGGCAAATGGTTCAAATGTGATCATGTGGGTGTGCATGCTCAACTGCCATCAGGCCATTCATTAACGTCTCACAGTCACCCTTTTTGCATGAGAGAAAATTGGCGGTCACAATTTAATTTACTTAAGTGGACTTTTTTCTTTATTGGACTGAAAAAAATTAGTCTTTCAAAAAGTGTCTTTTAAATCTTAATCAGTCACAGACAGACTAAAAAATTTGCAAGTGGTTTTGGCAAATTAATGGGTTTATTTTCTGCAATGTATAGACGATGGAACCCAGTTCCTAATGATGTTCTTTGCCACTGTACCTGGCACCCCGAAACATCTTAAGGTACCTAAGCCATTCACATGTTGTGCCTCATATCCTCTCGTGGTCTCCAGGTTTTCATTTTCAATGATGATTCATGAGAATGAAGTGCGTAATTCATGATTCACCCCTCCTATCACCAAATCACTAAGTCTCTTAGAATGTGCCCGATCCCATTAGACCGCAGAAACGAAGCATGGTTAAGCATTAACAGACCGCAATGCACACACAGGTTGTCATAGGACTGCAGGGAAACAGTGAGTAGGTAGCAGAGAGCAGTGCAGCTACATCTAATGTTGGACTGTACTTCTGTTCTCGCGTCTACGTTCCCTGCCTTCAATCCAGATGGACAAATTTAGTGGACTATCATAAAAAAAAGAAACCGCATGGGGAGGGGAGGCCCTCATCCAGCAGTGGATTGACCAAAGCGCTGTGCGTGTACTGACACGATAGTCGTGATTCAAGGCCACGAATCAAATCAAACCAATTCTTTTTTTGATTATTTTTTTTGTCCATCTCCTTTGTGTATTTTTTTTTCCGTCTCATTTGCCCTTAGTTGTAACCGCTTAAGTTTTTGTTCAGATGTGATTAACTCCTACCAGACATGGGGTTCAGGGGAAACTTTCCCCGGTTCTGCCAAATAGCATAAAACTTCGAGACTTCAGCCACATGTTTGTCTGTCATTCAACGACTTGAGGTTCCACCCGGATGCATGCTGCTGACTCTACTTCGTCTTTGTTGGTTCCTCTATTCTCTGTTTCCCTGAGAAATATGATGTTTACACGTTTTAAGCACTATTTGCTGACCTTTTAGTTAAATTTAGACCTCAAAACTACAATGTGCAAAGTGTTCTGCTTTGCATTTCACGTGCAATACATACAGTTTCATAGCCTAAAATACAACTATTTACAATGAAATATTGCACATTGCATTCATCTTCTATAAATCGATGTACAGTTAAGCATGGTATAAGTCAGTGTTATAAAACTAATGGTTAGGTCGTTTTAAAATTAACATTTGCAGCAATTGGCAAAATTTTAAATTTTGGAGAGATTTCAGTCTTTAAAAGCCAGGACAACATTTCCAAAGTAAGCGAAAATAAAATAAATAAAATATATGGTCTGACATCATGGGGAATTCCGTGTTACAAAACTCCTTTTCACTTATCAATTACCCTCTGATCTTTGACTCCTAATATCCACGGGAGCTCCAGCGTCTAATAAACTCCTATTGAGAACCATATTCTTCCTATTATCCACGATTATCCTGTTTTGTCTCACCCTGCATTGTGGAACGGCTTCCTATTATGCACAAGAGGAGCCATGTGAACAAATTTATTCTATTATCTGCGGATGTTTCCCCCCTCACAGATTGGTAAAGTACATTTTCAGATAAGATTACGGATAATAGGGTCTGTGATATCCATCCTACACATCACCGTGGTTAACAGGAGCTCTCGTGCACACATGTTTCAATGTGGGCTTGTCGCGATATGTCCATGAACATATATATTGCGTATACCTATTCTTTGGTTATTTCGGTAAAGTCACATAGATAGAAAAATAATAATAAAAATAATACAAATACAATTAAAATAAAAACCACGACGTTTCAATTGCAACACAAGCGGTCATCAGGAAAAGGGGGTTAGCCTCTAAAAGCAAACTGTTTATAAAGGTTTAAGATGGGCGTAGTCCAAGTGTCAGCAGCATGGGCGGGGCAGCTTATGTTAATGTAAGTGATGGGCAGCGACGGCGCTGGTGGTGGGTTTCCGCCAATTAAAGGGCTGCCAAGTCATCATTGCACCTCGCTTTACACACTCACACTGTTGACGGTGGAGGTTGCTGCTAGACGTGATGGTAGTAGTGGGTAATGATGGTGCTGGTGGTGGGCTTCCACCATTAAAGGGCTACTGCTAGTGGTGATGGTAGTAGTGGGCATTGATGGTCCTGGTGGTGGGTTTCTACCAATTAAAGAGTTGCCAGGTCTAAAATGGTAACATTACAGCCAGTTATAACTTAAACTGGTTGATAACGTCCTTCCATGGTGATTGCTGAGTTTGTACCCATCTTCTCGGTTGAAATTGTATCTATGTCTGCATATATGGATGGCTTCATGAACGAATCGTTATGAGACCTCCTTTGCCAGTAGCAAGATATAGTAATAGGTTTTACCCTTTTAACTGGCACAAAAACTGACACCTTTATTCAAGGCATCATGTTTTCAATAACCACAACACAAGCAGTCAAAATGCAAACAAAAGAGACAACTCTGATAATAATATGCACTGTCCTTGAATTTGATTGGTCCACATCCGAGACAGCTTTTCTTAGAGCCTAGTCTCCACTGGTGTTGGACCAGAAGATGCCAAAAGGCATACAACTCAAAAACAGCACACTATCAGAGTATTGAGGGCTCGGGGTGAGCATTTACATTATGAGACCTCCTTTGCCAGTAACAAGGACAGTGCATATTATTATCAGAGTTGTCCCTTTTGTTTGCATTTTGACAGCTTGTGTTGTGGTTATTGCAAACATGATGCCTGAATAAAGGTGTCAGTTTTTGTGCCAGTTAAAAGGGTAAAACCTATTACTATATCTTGTTACTGGCAAAGGCGGTCTCATAATGTAAGTGCTTACCCCGAGCCCTCAATACTCTGATAGTGCGCTGTTTTTGAGTTGTACGCCTTTTGGCGTCTTCTGGTCCAACACCAGTGGAGACTAGGCTCTAAGAAAAGCTGTCTCGGGTGTGGACCAATCAAATTCAAGGACAGTGCATATTATTATCAGAGTTGTCTCTTTTGTTTGCATTTTGACTGCTTGTGTTGTGGTTATTGCAAACATGATGCCTTGAATAAAGGTGTCAGTTTTTGTGCCAGTTAAAAGGGTAAAACCTATTACTATGAACGAATCTTTGTTGATAGCCAGTGGGTTTGCAAAATACCTTCGTCTTAGAGAAATCAATTTCGTGTGAGCCAGCCGCATTTAAATAATGATTAGCTACGGCAGAAGTATTGGTCCTACTGTGTTTCAAATCTGCCTTATGCTCACGAACGCGGTCCGAGACATGTCGCTTAGTTTCCCCAATGTAACTGCTGCTGCAGAAACAGCTTAGTTTGTAGACTCCGGGCTATTACATGTTAGAGATCTTGTCCTTCACAGATAGGATCAGATCACGAATTTTATGTACTGTGTGAAATCGGACATGGATCTTGTGTTTGCTCATGATTTTGGAAATATTTTGGTTATCCCTGCTACAGTATGTATGGCAAGGTGATGGTTTTTATTGGATCTTCAGATGGCTCCTTCCTCACGGTTGGGGTGATGGCTTTGCGGATTGTGTAGTCAGAGTATCCATTCGCCTTGTAAGCTTGGTGTACGTGTTTGAGTTCACTGGTTAGGTGTTCATGGTCGGAGATACATTAAGCTCTATGGTATAGAGTTTTGATGAGAGAATTGTTCTGGGATGGATGGTGGTAGGAGTCAGGTTTTAGATAGGCATTAGTATGGGTTGCTTTCCTGTAGACCGAATGGCTCATTGAGCCATCTGGTCTCTTTTTTTAACGTTAGCACCACGGAGAGCGATTTGACAGTTTGTTCAGATGGACGAGTCCATCTATGCTCAGAAAAGAGGAGGGGGGAGACGAAAAATAATTGATGCGTTCTGAAAGCCACCTTAAGCGTGATCAATCAATTAAGACTCGAAATGGTTTATCAAATCCTTCCAATGATTGCTAAGCCAGAATCCATCTTCTCCGTTGAAATTGTCTCTGTGTTTGTATATGTGGTTAGCCTCATGAACGAATCTCTCATGGTAGCCAGATGGCTTGCAAAGAACCTCTGTCTTGGAGAAGTCAATGTCATGTGAGCCTACTGAATTATAGTGAGACATTATTGTTCATGTTTATCTTGAGGATAAACTGCCTCTTCTTGGTTCTTTCCGTAAAGTCACGTGGAAGGGAAATAATACAATAATAAAAATAAGACATAATAAGATATATTTATTATTTTATTATTTCCCTTCTACGTGACTTTACCGAAAGAACCAAGAAGATGAATCCATACAGTCACGAAAGCTTTAAATCAAGATTAACTGCCTCTTGCTAAGGACATTTAGCATTTATGCCACTGGCTCATCGGCCTAAATGTGATATAAGCCCAATTCCACTGCACACTTGTGTTAATAGAGACTTTATAATTTTGACTTTTGAACTATTTATTATTACTGTAATTGTGTTTGAATGAAAATAAATTACTTTGAAATTAATCTATGTCAGGCTCACAACAGCTGACATTTTAATTTCTCTACAGTTGTCTCAATTCAGATTGATATACACGAGTGAACACTGACATGATATACAGTAGGAAGGCCTTCATCCAGCAGTGGATTGACAAAGGGTTAAATATTACATGCCACTAAAAACAAAATGTGGCTAAACACTAAGCTACACAATCACGAGGGTTTTCCGACTAATAAGGAGAAAGTGGTCTGAACAAAATTAGCATGCAATGTGATGTCATTGATGCAGTCATTCACATTATGGTAATATATAAAGCCCAGTGTTTTGTACAGCCTCATCACAAATAACGCCACGGAAATAATTCCTACGGCGTAATCATTTGTCGACAAATCTGCGTTGAATTCTTAAAGTTATTTCAAGAGAATCCCAAGAAACCCTGCAGAATTTTTGATTGGTATTTTAAAACTTAGATCATGGTTTTAATCGAAGTGTTTTAAATTGTATATTTTCAGCTATTCATTATAAGCAGTGGCGTTATTTTATTTGATGGAGAGTTTATGTTTTTTTTATATATAATCTGTAATTTTTTACATTGAATCTTAAAGTGGAATTTATCTTTAACGTATAATTGTTTTTTTTAAATCTCAGATGAGCTTGCATTTTTGTTCGTAGCCATTATGTACACGTGGCTATCGGGGACGCTGCTGCTGCTGCTGCTGGTGGTGTCGGCAGGGACCTTTGCCAACGAGGGGGAAGCAAAATGCGAGGGGCAGAAGGGGTATCTAGGAATCCATGGCAAACACGGGAAGCGTGGGTCCGACGCCCAGGATGGTGAGTTAAATCTTCCTCTGACCTCGTCAGCAACGCGTTGCGAATTACACCGCCACTATATTCAAAGTTAGACACGAGCAGGTGAATTTGAGCAGTGCTGTTATATCGCTGTGCTATTCGTGATACGTGTGAGGCATGTTTAGGTCACGTACAATTCAGTCAAGAATGAGAGAATTAGTCGATAATTAAACTTTCCGGGCAGAATCACATCTTAGAAAGTTGTATCTGACACGGTATTTGTTGCTATTTTTTGGTTGTATTATACGGATATTTTATTGATGTACAATAACGTATTTTTTGTTTAACTGCATATGTGAAGATTAAAACATTTATCACGTGACTACATAGTGGCCGGCACAGGGCAGTGAAGCAAAACCGATAGTTTTTACTGTGTCTATGCTCCTGTCATACGTGATCCCCGCCTTCACAAACTCTCACCTTGTAAGTGTGCTGCAAAATGGTCAATTAACCCCCGTGACCAGCAACATGTGTGGAGGGCCCTCATCTAGCAGTCGATTGGCAAAAGGCTGTATGTGTACGTTAAAAATTTCACTTTTAACTGTAGCATAAATGCTGGAAGAAAAATATATGTACAAATATTAAAATCTAAACCACACACATTTTGAAAATCAAATAAGTAAAAAACATATGTGTGGGATAAACAAATAAAATATACCAGAAAACCAACCGCGGACATTCAGCAACAAATGCGCAGCAAATCTATAGTCTGACAACAATACTGCCTAGTTGGAGTATTTAATCAAGTAAACCTTGGTGTGAAAATGCGCATTGCTTTTGTATGTTCAGGAGCAGACGGAGAAAAGGGTGAACCTGGAGATCCTGGGGAAGGGGTGAAAGGGATTACAGGTGTGTGAAACCATTCATTAGGTTTGTGCAAAAATTGTAAAGCTGTCAGTTTGTGGTCTCAAGTGAACACTGGAACTTAGAAATCTTGAAATGTGAAGCTACAAGTTGCATAAACTCGTAATAGCATATGTGTTTTTTTTTGTTCAGGCCTCCCTGGGATGCAAGGACCCAAAGGACAGAAAGGACTCAACGCACCGATGAGTGAGAATGGGCCTCAAGGAAACAAAGGTGTTCAGGGAGTCAGAGGTACAATTCACACTTCCATACCATTCCTTTTGTTCCCTCCCCTTCGATATGCATGCCAACTCCTACTACTGCTTCTCTACACCTTACCTGGGTAGTAATCCACAGGCAATTCATCCCCAGAGAAGAGCATAATATTAAACACTTTCTTATTATTATTCCTGGGTCTTTTCGGTAAAGCCACGTAGATAGATCAAATAATAAAATAATAAAACTAATAACAATATCACGACGTTTCGATCGCAGCACAAGCAATCGTCATCAGGTGAGAAATATCGCGGGAGAGCTGCTGTTGAATATAAACACTTTGTTTAAGACGAAGTTTTGGGTTCGAGCAAGTAAAATTACAATGAAGAGACCTGGATACACTGTGAATAGGCTTTGGTCACCTTCTGAAGTTTTTGGTAAACAGATTCATTTGAGTGGGTTTTTTGTAACATGGGGTAACTTTTAACCCTCCTGAAACCTAGAATTAAGTACAAAACCATAATTGCAATGGTAGCCTTGCTATATAAAATTGTCAACATGGTGGAATTAATATATTTAGCACACTAGCACCAACTGTACTATTGTTTTATCAATCAAGAAAAGTGCCAGCCTGCTTCAAAATGCTACATTTCTATGGCAATTATTAATCTTTCTATATACTGACGATTTTAATTCCCACGAAGTAAAATTAATTCTATCTGCCTCAGAGGGATTTAAACTTGTTTCCTTGAAATTGCGAGTTGAGCCCTCTGCTACAGTATTCCCTCCTTATTCGCGAGGGATATGTTACCGATATGCTCGTGAATAGCACATTTCACGGATGATCAATTACTCTAAATAAATGCATAGGCTAATAAAATGTATGAACATTATCATAATAAATAATTGATTTGCCTCATCACTTTATCTCTCATCACTTTATCTCATCACTTCATCTCATCACTTTCCCGAATCACATTCTCTCTCATCACTTTATCTATTCACTTTATCTCTCACCACTTCATCCCATCACTTCATCTCATCGCATTCTCGCATCCCATTTTCTCTCATCACTTTATCTCTCGTCACTTTCTCTCTCTCTCTCTCTCGATGCAGTCGTGCGGAGTTCCGGATGCCATTTGCAGAGAGCCAAAAACGCGGATACAAAAATTCGTGAATGACGAGGGAATTCTGGATGAATATATACATCTGTGTCTGTCATACAGGAGACCCAGGGAGCGTGGGAACAATGGGTCCAAACGGAGACCGAGGACCCAGAGGACACAATGGAATTGATGGGGCCAAGGGCTCCCCGTACATGTTGCCGAGATCCGCTTTCTCGGTCAAAACCTCCTACAGAAAAAAGAGCACGGTTGGAATACTTAAACACGACTTGGAAATTGCTAACTTCCAAAAGCATTACAATATGCAGACAGGAAAATTCAAATGTGAGCATCCGGGGTATTACTACTTCACGTTCTACCTCTCGGTTTCTGGGAAAAACTTAACAGCCTTTCTGAAACGGAATGCTAGAACCATCCTGACTGTTACTGACGAAGTAGCAAAAGATTCTGGGGCTGAAAACATGGGTGGGAGCATCGTGCAACATCTGGATAAGGGAGACACGGTGTGGCTAGATATTGATGCCACCAACAATGGCATCTTTGTTGACTATGCCCGAGACAATGTGTTCTCTGGCTTTATATTGAACTTTAACAGCTGAACTACTTAAAATTTCATCTGATTTTTCACAAACAATGCTATCAACTACCACACTTTCGTCAGCTAGATTGCACGTGTAATAAAGAGACGACATGAGACTTTTCAGGCCTTCTCTTACAGTATCCAATAATTTTGCCTTTGTCTTCGCCTCGGTCATTGCCACTCGAATTTGCCACTCCGATGCCCGCATCAATAAACGAATCTCCCTCGATCCTCCATATGCCCTAGCATTTTTTATTACATCGCAAATGTCTCCTGTGGAATACAATTTCTATGCGAATAGAAATGTTTTTTTTAAATATTAGTTTCTTACCCAATGCTGAGATGAAATTACCAACAACGTCTGAATCAACTTTTACACCATCGCCAGACGTTTATATTCTTGGTACATTTTTTTTATTAAAGATGATTAAGTTCCCCGACAGAAGTGGTGAGTATGTTACTGATCTGATATTATATCAACGGCAATGTATTGCTGCATGTCTCTTACCCAATCTTCTGCCTGGTTCACTGGTGTATTCCTATCATTAATAAAGAATTAAAGCTTTCGTGACTGCATACATTACTCATTGGTCTTTTCGGTAAAGTCACGTATGTAGAAATACCACAAAATTATATTAAAATAAATCAACCACGACGTTTCGACCGCAACGCAAGCGATCCTCATCAGGTGTAAAAAAACAAATCACGGAGGTAAATACAACAAGAAGATGAGAGACGAGAATTCAACAAACCTAAGAAAAAATTACGTGAAGCACAACCAGTCAGGCCAACAACACAGTTAGACACTTGCCTGGCGGACCACGAATTTCAGAAGAGTGTTAAATTTCGTGTTCAACCTCTGGATTGAACATACCAGCATAGACAGTGAACAAATACGGGGTACAAGTCTTTCCTCTCCTTGTCTCTTGGTGTTCCTGTATATGTATTTCTGACTTGTACCTCGTATTTGTTCACTCTGTCTATGCTGGTATGTTCAACCCAGAGGATGAACACGAAATTTAACACTCTTCTGAAATTCGTGGTCCGCCAGGAAGTGTCTAACTGTGTTGTTGGCCTGACTGGATGTGCTTCACGTAATTTTTTCTTAGGTTTGTTGAATTCTCGTCTCTCATCTTCTTGTTGTATTCACCTCCGTGATTTGTTTTTTACACCTGATGAGGATCGCTTGTGTTGCAGTCGAAACGTCGTGATTGATTTCTTTTAATATTATTTTATGGTATTTCTACATACGTGACTTTACCGAAAAAAAACAATGAGTATTCCTATTATCTTTACAATTAAAATCCTTGCGAAGTATTACGTGGTATGCAACAATTTGAATTCTGAATCATTAAGTCATCAATGGTTTCAAAATAAAATTATTTGTTCGCAATAAACTGTAACTCATTTACTTTGTTTTTCTTATCAATAAATGACGTTGTGTCATGTGTTTGCTATATTTTTCACATGATCTGCATCAAACTCACAGTACATTTGTAGGGCTGTAGTGAATGCATTTATATTTGCTGGGAATGCTTTTTTTTTGTTCCCCGCCCCCACCATCACCACCACCAGATAGGTTTAAGGGGAGAGAGATTGTCTGGGCAACTAACATTTTTAACAACAATGTGTTTCATGCACCCAGAGGAATGGATGGGTGAACACGAATTCCTAGGACTGTGTGAAACCCAAAAAAAGCTACCAGCCTGATCTCCGACTCTGCCTTTGTGCATTCTGGCAGACCTGTCGCTCCCCAATAACATTTTCCAAAATGGCTGGACAACCACGCCGTCCACACGCACACTTGAAAACAAATGAATCTATATTCATGTTTACTTATTATACATCAGCACTGTTTATTTGATTAAGAACACACAATCAGAAGTAAAAATGTATATATATCATTTCATTTATTTCAATTATTAGGTATAACCCTGTGAGCCATGCGGCTCTTGACTCGGATGCAACCGCAGCAAAACAAAAACATGAACAAGAAAACGTCTTAAAGTGGCTACACGCAACAGAAAAATACTGGAAAAAAACAGCAAAAATATACATATACACTGCGTCGGTGTTTAAATCAAAATACCTGCATTACATGCAATTTAAATAAATAATATGTACATTTTATATACACTTCATAATGAACAGTCCTTGCACATTACACCAATAAAATAAATTATGCGAAGACCCAATGATCAACATAATAGGCAAAGTGGTTTACAAGCTACCTTAAATAATTAAATTACGTTAATCCTTATACAGTATATATAATGACCACATTTGGTGTATAGTCATGTAGTGGTGATGTTCATGAAAGATTGCCAGGTCGCCAGGATCACAAAATCCACCTCTGATGCTTTCGACAGGTGCTGAAAAAAGATAAACAGTCAATTACACATCCATTAATCGTTTGAAAATTGTAAAATTTGGTTTAAGAGGCCATATTTGTCTGGGCAATCGAGTGAACTGTTGAACTATTGAGAGGACGTTAAACCCGCCACCACCCAAAACAGCCACTGAGTAAGGTTTGTCACGTAAACAAAACGTGCCATTTGGTTACTACTTCAGCACACCGGTGTGTTGGAGAGAAAACCCACAACATTTACAATTCGGTTACGACGTTTCGCTGGTGATTCCAACCAGCTTCTCAGGCGATTAGCCAGAATTGTGAATACGTCTACCTTGTTTCGATTTTAGATAGAGGTGAGTCAAGGAGAAGTCATCACAGTTAGCCTATCAGGGCCAGAGGGCGGTCAATGTAGTCGAAACATTGCAATGCATCGTGTTAATCTGAGAATATGCAGGACCTATTATCGGTTGGGCTATTCACAGTTAATGAATATGCAGTGGAATGCTTTAATGTTCAGCTTGTCCCACTCCGCACGTTCTATAGGTGCGCGATCTAACCCAAAACCTTTATTATCGACTACATTGGTCGCGAATGCATCAACCAGCCCATGCGTTAATTGGGTGTTGACCGACTCTCTGCGTTGCATTGCATTACATTTGCAAATTTTACTAAGTTTGTTTGATTTAGTGTGTTTTCTCTCTGTCTCCCCTCGTTTTGTTGCTCTTGTTTCCTGCAGTTGCGCCAGGTCTCTCATTGACATGCTAATTTATCTACCCCCCCCCCCACCTCTCTCTCTGCCCGCGTCTCTAAGGCCTTGACAAAGAGGCGTTGTTTCTCTGTGTGCCTATGTTGTGTGTCTCTCTGTGTCTCTGTGTTATCTCTTTCTGCTTGTGTGTCTGTCTATGTGTCTCCGTGTCTGTGTTTTATCTCTCTCTTAAATTTAGGAATCTTTGGAAGAACGTAATCAACCAGGTAGGGTGTTGACTGTTATGTTAGCCGACTCTCTGTGTTGTATTGCGTTACATTTCTAAGTTTACTAGGTTTCATCTTCTTGGTTCTTTTGGTAAAATCACGTAGAAGGGAAATAAATAATAATATTTTATTATGTTTCATTTTTATTATTTCCCTTCTACGTGACTTTACCGAAAGAACCAAGAAGATGAATCCATGCAGTCACGAAAGCTTCAAATCGAAATTTACTAGGTTTGTGTTCTCTTTCATTTGTACCTGACGATGACTGCTTGTGTTGCAATCGAGACGTCGTATGCTATTATTTAATTTATTATTTTCTCTTTCTACGTGACTTTACCGAAAGAACCAAACGAGTAATTCCGGCAGTCACGAAAGCGCCTAAATCAAGTTTAAACGCATACACGTTCAACTCTCAGCGTAAACTCACCAGCAATAGATGAGCAGCCCGACGCAAACAAGAAGCACCAACCCAAGGACTGCGATCAGGATGGCAGCAAGCACCTTCCAGCCTACATCGTTGGCACACGGCACATGGCACACAGCTCAAGCATCGAGAACAGCCGAAGACAATAGGGGGGCATCCAAAGTGAGCAGGACACTTTGTGCTTCAAAAAGGTTAATGTCTCACCTGGTTCAGGCACTTTAGTAGGCGGCGGGGTGCTGCTCAGCTGTGACGTGGAGCTGCTGGCCTGTGACGTGGAGCTGCTGGCCTGTGACGTGGAGCTGCTGGCCTGTGACGTGGAGATGCTGGCCTGTGACGTGGAGCTGCTGGGCTGTGACGTGGAGCTGCTGGCCTGTGACGTGGAGCTGCTGGCCTGTGACGTGGAGCTGCTGGCCTGTGACGTGGAGCTGCTGGCCTGTGACGTGGAGCTGCTGGGCTGTGACATGGAGCTGCTGCTCGGCTGTGACGTGGAGCTGCTCGCCTGTGATATGGAGATGCTGGCCTGTGACGTGGAGCTGCTGGGCTGTGACGTGGAGCTGCTGGCCTGTGACGTGGAGCTGCTGGGCTGTGACGTGGAGCTGCTGGCCTGTGACGTGGAGCTGCTGGCCTGTGACGTGGAGCTGCTGGCCTGTGACGTGGAGCTGCTGGGCTGTGACGTGGAGGTGGAGCTGCTGCTCAGCTGTGACGTGGAGCTGCTGGCCTGTGACGTGGAGCTGCTGGGCTGTGAGGTGGAGCTGATGGCCTGTGACGTGGAGGTGGAGCTGCTAAGTTGTGAGGTAGCGCTGATGGGTTGTGAGGTGGAGCTGATGGCCTGTATGGTGGAGGTGGAGCTGATGGGCGGTGAGGTGGAGCTAGATCTGATGGGCTGTGAGGTGGAGCTGATGCCCTGTGTGGTGGAGGTGGAGCTGATGGGCTGTGAGGTGGAGCTGATGGCCTGTGTGGTGGAGGTGGAGCTGATGCCTTGTGTGGTGGAGGTGGAGCTGATGGGCTGTGTGGTGGAGCTGGAGCTGATGGGCTGTGAGGTGGAGCTAATGGCCTGTGTGGTGGAGGTGGCGCCGATGGCCAGTGTGGTGGAGGTGGAGCTGATGGGCTGTGTGGTGGAGGTGGAGCTGATGGGCTGTGAGGTGGAGGTTGAGCTGATGGGCTGTGAGGTGGAGCTGATGCCCTGTGTGATGGAGGTGGAGCTGATGGGCTGTGAGGTGGAGCTGATGCCCTGTGTGATGGAGGTGGAGCTGATGGGCTGTGTGGTGGAGGTGGAGCTTGTGGGCTGTGAGGTGGAGCTGATGGGCTGTGAGGTGGAGCTGATGGGCTGTGAGGTGTAGCTGATGGGCTGTGAGGTGGAGCTGATGGGCTGTGAGGTGTAGCTGATGGGCTGTGAGGTGGAGCTGATGGGCTGTGTGGTGGAGGTGGAGCTGATGGGCTGTGTGGTGGAGGTGGAGCTGATGGGCTGTGAGGTGGAGCTGATGGCCTGTGTGGTGGAGGTGGAGCTGATGGGCTGTGAGGTGGAGCTGATGGGCTGTATGGTGGAGGTGGAGCTGATGGGCTGTGAGGTGGAGCTAGATCTGATGGGCTGTGAGGTGGAGCTGATGCCCTGTGTGGTGGAGCTGATGGGCTGTGAGGTGGAGCTAATGGCCTGTGTGGTGGAGGTGGAGCTGATGGGCTGTGAGGTGGAGCTGATGCCCTGTGTGATGGAGGTGGAGCTGATGGACTGTGTGGTTGAGGTGGAGCTTGTGGGCTGTGAGGTGGAGCTGATGGGCTGTGAGGTGGAGCTGATAGGCTGTGAGGTGTAGCTGATGGGCTGTGAGGTGGAGCTGATGGGCTGTGAGGTGTAGCTGATGGGCTGTGAGGTGGAGCTGATGGGCTGTGTGGTGGAGGTGGGGCTGATGGGCTGTGTGGTGGAGGTGGAGCTGATGGGCTGTGAGGTGGAGCTGATGGCCTGTGTGGTGGAGGTGGAGCTGATGGGCTGTGAGGTGGAGCTGATGGGCTGTATGGTGGAGCTGATGGGCTGTGAGGTGGAGCTAGATCTGATGGGCTGTGAGGTGGAGCTGATGCCCTGTGTGGTGGAGCTGATGGGCTGTGAGGTGGAGCTAATGGCCTGTGTGGTGGAGGTGGAGCTGATGCTCTGTGTGGTGGAGGTGGAGCTGATGGGCTGTGAGGTGGAGCTGATGGGCTGTATGGTGGAGGTGGAGCTGATGGGCTGTGAGGTGGAGCTAGATCTGATGGGCTGTGAGGTGGAGCTGATGCCCTGTGTGGTGGAGCTGATGGGCTGTGAGGTGGAGCTGATGGCCTGTGTGGTGGAGCTGATGGGCTGTGAGGTGGAGCTGATGGCCTGTGTGGTGGAGGTGGAGCTCATGGGTTGTGAGGTGGAGCTGATGGCCTGTTTGGTGGAGGTGGAGCTGATGGGCTGTGTAGTGGAGCTGATGGGCTGTGAGGTGGAGCTGATGGCCTGTGTGGTGGAGCTGGTAATGGTGGTGTCGCGGACTGGAAGATCGTAGCAAGCACCACATATGACAGAGACAAAAAAAACAATGTGCATCAGTTACGTGTACATATATATAACTCGATTTACCCACATTCCTGATTTATCACAGGCAATTGCTTACTATACCTACCCACTGCCCTGTACATAAAAGAACGACACAATACAAAGAGTCCGTGATCGGTGGTGTGACCAGCACCACAATCCCATAGCTTTGGCTCGCCAGCGGCGATGTTTCGACACTGCACCAGACTGTCACGTAAAGACAACTCAAATTAAAAGAGGCATATGATAGGTTTCGTTTGCCACGTTCACATCATGTCAAATGACCAAATCGTTTGGAACAGCACCCGATCTTGTCAGATCATGGAAACTAAACCGGGCAGAGCCTGGACGATGCTTGCTTGAGTGACCAGCATGACTGTTACAAGCTGCAGATCTATGTGTTGGGCAGCACCATACAATCGGCTGCTGTACTGTAAGAAATCCATCCTCCAACGTGTATGCTACTCTCCACCTTCTGCAACCTAAATTGACCAGCGTGGTTAAATCTTGACTGAAAGCTTTCCTGACTGCAGGAATTCAAATGCTGGGGTCACGTAGATAGCCACCTATCGACGTGACTTTACCGAAAGACACAAAGAATTTGACCGGCATGGTGAAGTATGGTCAAATGACCCCCGCAAGCCACAAGAGGTGCGGGGAGGCCATCATGCAGCAGTTAATTGACCAAAGGGCTGTGCATGTAAACTGCTTTTTCTGTTTAGTTTGTTGTCCTTCCACCACACCTCCGATGAGCACGGTTGGCCACGTAACGTACGAAAGAAGTTTAACATACGAATGTCGCAAATATGGGCGGCTCGAAATCGGTTGTTTGAATTGCAGCGCGGGGCACTAACACGGTGCTACTGCTCTTCACGTGAATAAAACTCGCACATTCGTCAATGATGCTGACTTAGCAGGTAAAATTATAACATTTTACGACACTTCATGGGGTTAACCCTTCTTCATAGCACGCAGAGAAGTCGCGCATGCACACCTCTGTTATAGCAGTACACATCAAACTGCCGAGGCAGCAAGGTGGTGAGGTGAAACAGTCCCACGTAGCCTCGCGCACAGGTGATGGCGCTTTTCACGCGTGGGAGCACGTAGGTGTTGGGCTCGGAAATCCAGCCATACCTGCACGAATCCACACAGGGCAGAATGGAGAACAGCAGAGTTTAACAGCACTGTCACTCGTTTCCAAACCAAACGCACGCGCGTGGATGTGTTAGTGCTCCGGTGTCGACGTCGGTGGGGTTTTTTTTTTTAAAGTATATATTTAATGTGCAGCAAAACGTAATTCTGCATCGGCATTCACAAATTCAGGTGGCGTCTAAACAGGTAAAAAAAAAATTAACTAGCACAAATTTTTAATAAATACGAAACTAGGGAAGGCACTGGACAAAGTATTGAATTGAAAGAGATATCAGTAGCAAAACAAATATTAAAACATCTGATACGACAATCTTTTTTCCATCTTGACTTAAAGCTTTCGTGACTGCAGGCATTTATATTATTTGGGTCTTTCGGGAAAATCACGTAGATAGGTCCAAAGGTTATTTTCTTTGAACCTGTCGATCTACATGACTTTAGCGAAATACCCAAATAATATGTTTTTTTCATTTGTGCCAGCTTTGTCCTATTATTGCGAATGCACTCGGGTTGTAAATGTCGGTTTTGGGGGCTCTAAGCATGGACTACTATGAAGCCACCGGCCAAAATTGTGGTGATTGCTTCATTATTAATTGGTTTCTATTACAGCTGACGTTTCGCATTCTCGGACAAGACTGTTGAGTCAGAGTCCTCCGCGTTCCACGAAACTTCGGCATGGGTTCGTCTCTGTGGGAGTCTCTCAAAGTGGGAGTCCCTCCATGGCACTCCCACGTTCATACCGCCAGTATTGACTATACGTAGATACATGCAATAACCACGACGCCTGCTCGTAAACGTGTGACTCACAATCTCAACGATTGTGCGTTCACATTCCGCTGAAAGGGGTCGACTCTGCCCTTCATCTCTCTAGATTTTTTTAAATTATTTAAGCGCCACTTTCTGGGGAACTCAACTGCGATTTAATAATGAATGTGGTTTTAATTTTGGCATGAAGACACTTTGACTTGACTTTGAACCTTTTAAAATTATTCATCGTCATTACATTGCATACACGGTGTACTGCCTACGACAAAATAAACCAGAATGTGACAAATATCACCTCTGAAGCTTAGCGGGGTTAATCCTGGATCGACACCCACCCGTGATTATCAAATGTTATCGGCTGCCACGGCGCTACGTCGTGGGCAGCAGCAGAGGTGTGTGTGTGTGTGTGTGGAAAAATCCACTGTTGTACCATACTTCTATGCCCCCCGTACACAATGTGTTACCTGCATTGCTCGTAATTAAGGGCAGTGGCGTCCTGTAGGTTTCTCAAGGTGGCGATGGTAAATCCAAGTTGGATGCAGGCGTCGCGCGCCTGGTCCTGCGTCAGCTGGTACCGGCCCAGGGCTGAGGCCACCAGGACGACCCCGTTCAAGCTGTATGGAGATACGACTGCTGGGGCTGCTCGTTTTGCTCGGACCGCTCCGATCGCTATATCGGCACAAAAGAAGTGAACACAGGTCAGTGCGGTTAAGACAGTGGGACAAAAGGTGTACATTATTCGGGTGATATGTTGAATGTACACTGTGCGCATTGTATTTGATAGGACATGACCGTCAATTTACACCGAGCGATGTCATTAACTAACGTATCATCACGTAGAAAGAACCAAGAATATGAATCCCTGCAGTCACGAAAGCTTTAAATCAGAATTTAACGTATCATCGTTGGTCCCCCCGATGTCATATATCAAGTCGAACAAACTGTGCGTACACAATCACTACAGATTGAGTAAGTGGCTGATGTACATTTTCATGATACGCTAGCAGGGCTAGAAAGCTCATTTGGGCACAAATAATACTACGTTTATTGTCATATTTATAACATTCCAAAACCAAATTCACATAAAGTTATACATTATACAATTGTTATTATACCATTACAATCACTTGCCAGCACGTAAAATACTTGTTTCACCTGAAGACGACCGCTTGCGTTGTGGCCGAAACGTCGTGAGAATTTTATTGTGTTATTTTATTATTTTATTCTCATTCTACGTGACCTTACCGAAAGAACCAAAGAAGATACTTGTTTCATACTTTATATTAAGCAGCAGATAACTTAATGGATTACAGGCATGTGTACACAAAAACATTCATTGAATTATATTATTTTCTTGAACTGATCACATGTATCTGAGGTGGAAAATTATAATTTTTCACTGAATAAAATTCGTTTATAGAATTGAGCAGAGGTAAAAAAAATTCCCAGTTGAAGTAAGGCAATAATCAAAATTGGCTATTACTTCCTTTTTATTCAGCTACTAGAATCTCTATGTCAATGGCATTTTGAGAGAAAATCCACTTTTACAGTCTATTAAAAAGACTGCCCTCACCATGAGAATGTGGACGAACAACCACTGGCTCAGGGCTGGCAACAGAGATAATAAATACATTGCTCGTTGGAGCAGGGAAAAACACTCTCACCCATCGTTACCTAAATTAACTTGTGATGTATAGTTAAGAACATCCTAAAATCTTAAAACAAAACAACACATACACAAATTTGGTATGTACTAAATACTGTGAGTGAAACAAAAAAATACCCAGCGAGTGGCGAGTGATTCAGTTGTCGCGTTAGGTAGTCAAGTTTATATAACATATAGTAGCAATGTGCAATATTCCTGCAAAAGCAAACTACCGTAGAGACCTAGACAAATTTAAAACCAATGTAATACAATTACAAAATGGATAAAGATACAAAACGAAAGCACAGTACACGCGATTTGCCCATGGTATCGAACGCAACATGATGTGACATGCATCTCAGCTAAGACGAAGGGTGTGAAGTTTTGCGACCACTTACAAAAGGTGCTGGCAGGAGCCAGGCAGAAGAGAACCATCGCGAATGCGGCCAGAAGACCAGCTCTGCTCGTTGTCTCCATCGCTTTGCTGCCTATTGCCACCTGTAGAATCTCTTCAGACGGGGAATGCACGAGCGAATTAACTTCCACCAGAGTTGGTGCCCCCCTTTTTGTACTCTCGCGGTAGGATATTTTTATCCCTTGAGGTAACGTTCATCTGACGTGCGCATCCTGGTCGTGAGTCACGCCCTGCGGCGCAACCGTCTTTGGGGCTTGCCCAAACCCCACAATCTGACACGAAGCACGGCCCTCCTCGAGTGCTTCACGCGTCGCGCGCCACACCCTCGACGCATCGTGCCGTTCTTATTGCGTTTGAGCGAGCTCTATAACGTGCCTTTGGCTCTGTGTCACTTTTTTTACCTACGTCAATGGCACATACGAGCTGCGAAATATTGCGCACTATTCTTTGGGTCTTTCGGTAAAGTCACGTAGATAGGTAAAAAAAATGACAAAAAAACTACGACGTTTCGATCGCAACACAAACGCTCGTTTTCAGGAAAAGGGACTTGTGTTATTTTCCTGAAGACGACCGCTTTGTGTTGCGATCGAAACGTCGTAGTTTTTGTTATTTTTGTTATTTTCTTTAAATCTATCTACATGACTTTACCGAAAGACCCAGAGAATATGAATTCCTGCAGTCACAAAAGCTTTAAGTCAAGATTTATTATGCACTATATTGCCTTTATTGAGAAATATCTCTGTGTTTAAATCGGGGTTTGAGTCTTATTTCGGCCAGAGGTTCCGGTGCATTCACGGCAGCTAAGTTAAGGAATATTAACAC